GTGTCGTCAACATACCTGAACCAATGACTTGGTGGTGTCCCTGAAAAGGATGTCAAGGCTCTCTTTTCTACCTCCTCCATGTACAGGTTGGCAACAATAGGAGAAACTGGAGACCCCATAGCACACCCATGTTTCTGCCTATAATATTGCTCCCCATATGTGAAGTAGGTTGACTGCAGGCACAGTTTCAAGAGTTGACACAGTTGTTCTGTAGAAAGTGTGGTCTTGCTGCTCAGAGTGGTGCCTGCTTTTAATTTTAAACTGACCATCTCTACTGCATCATCAACAGGAATGCACGTAAAGAGTGATGTGACATCAAAAGAGACCATTGTTTCATCAGTCTCCATGATGACATCCCTCACCTTATCCACAAAGTCCATGGTGTTCTGTATGTGGTGTTCTGAGCTACCAACTAAAGGGATGAGTACAGACGCCAGATATTTGGAAACATTGTAAGTGACAGAGTTAATCATGCTAACAATTGGTCTTAAAGGTACACCTTGTTTGTGGATTTTAGGTAAACCATACAGACTAGGTGTGGCCTCTCCTGGGTACAGTCTGTGGTACAGAAAACGGTCAATAGCCTTGTCCTGCTCCAAAATTTTCAGGCAATCTATTAACTTTTTCTTGTAACCACTTCCTGGATCTCTTTTCAGAGGTTCATAAGTGTTTAAGTCACTAAGGAGTGTCATAACTTTCTCATGATAGTCTTTCTGGTTCAAAATCACTGTGCACCTTCCTTTGTCTGCTGGGAGAATGATGATGTTTTTGTCCTTGCTAAGAGTGGTGAGTGCGTCCCTCTCCTCTCTACTGATGTTGGAAGGTGGTGGTTTGGCATTGCTGAGGCAGGCTGAAACAAAGTAGAATCAAACTTTGAGACTGAGCTGAATACAGCACCTCAGACTGAGGAAGTCTCTCGGATGAGAGACGAAACGTTTCTACATTTTTTTGTTGTTTTGCTGCTTTTTGAATGTCCAGAGGACCAGATTTAACTTTTTTAGATGTAACAAGAAAAGCACCTAAAAAAAATTTTGTTTGCTCAAAATTATAGCAAAGGTGTGTCTCAGTCTAACATTTGCTTAATAAATGCACTTTAATGGTCAAATTAGCTGCATTTCCCCGGGGCGGTGCAGCTGGTTTGACGGTCAGTCCAAGCAGCGAGCAGACTGAAGGTGGGGGTAGTATGGCAAGCCAATGGTGTCATTAATAACTGGTGAAGATTCTCAGTCATCTAGGACATGGTAAATTCAAAAAAAGTTAGAGAAAAAAAAAGAAGTATAAAGTATAGTATAATAAAGTCCAGTTGTTTTAGTCTTGAACTTTTTTGAATTTGTCATTATAGCCACGTTTAGCTATTACATAATACAACAGCATGCCATACTAATATTACTACTCTGCTTCCATCAAGTGGCTGAAAGTGGTACTGCTCTTTTTTTTAGTCAGAATGAATGAAAACGGTCATATCTCAGCCGTTGGTTTATAAATATGGGGGAAAAAATCCATAAATATGTTGCTTAGGCCTATAAGTCACAGGACATGCAAATTATGCTATAAACTGTGACTTATAGGGTGGAAAATACAGTATGTTTCTTTGCTGTGTAGATTTTTTTTGTCTCAAACCGTGCCCTGTATGTGAGAGATCTTTTTTTATACCTTCTCTCCTCATGTTTTCTTCCCTTTTCTCATAAATAAGCATAAATATTCTTAAAAGAATAAGAAGCTGTGCTCCAGTAGCAGCAGCTACGTGCACTCCGTCCATCTTTGGACGACTGTACAAACATAATTTTGTTGTATTTTGGTACAAAGACCATAAAGCTTATTCTGCTTCTGATTCTTCTTCTTTTTGTCTATCACGTGTTTGTGTGTGTGTCAGTGTGTGTGTGTGTGTGTCTGTGTGTGTGTGTGTGTGTGTCTGTGTGTGTGTGTGTGTGTCAGAGTCCATCATGAATGTGTTATAGTCTA